TCATAGATACAAACACGTCGACCAAATTCGCTTACTACGTTTGCTTCAACACAGACACATGCTTGTGCGTTGCTCATTTTGTGCACCGGTTTGGTTTCATCACTCGTGCTTAATGCTGCTGTGGTTACTGCTACCGCTTAGTTTGCGGCACTGAAACATGTTGGTATTAGCTATGTTGTGTGTATTGTATGCTTAATGCTTTGCCGAACGAAGCATTTGCGATACAATGATGATCGCGAAACATTTGTGTGTATGGAAGCGTGTGTTTGAACGCCGTTGATGATGGGATCGTTGTGTGATTTCTTCAAACAGTTTCAAGCTCTTGCCACGATTTCTACACTCGATTCGAATCAGTCTTCAAGTTTGCATTTGAAAGATAGCCACGAATTTTTCAACGGTTGGAGAAATTTCTTTTGATTTACTCTCAAAACGACGTTTGAACAAAAAATAAAGTCCATTTTAAACCAACAAACTTGAAGATGTAAAAAGCGACAACAATTTGCTGGAAAAAAAAAAGAGGAAAAAGAGCAATAAAATTTAAAAAATACAACGCATTTCGTTGGACGAACGAGGTACTAGCAACCGAAGTAGTCGTATTTGTATCGACAGGCGAACATAAACAACGCGATCTGCATAATCTAAATCAGATTGAGACATAAATCTCAATTTCTTTTACGAATTCGAATTTCATTAATATTTATTCCAGTTCGTTACGCCCAACAGAATTGTGCGTGCATTTCGTTCGAATTTTTGTTGTTGTTTTTTTTTTCGACTTGCCAATAATCAATTTCACTGATCCGACAGGCACTGAGAATCAATTGTTAAACCACGCGAACGCATCATAAATCATTGATTCCGATCAGAAAGTGGTGAAGCACGATTGAAGCGCGATAGTTTCACAAAAAAAAGTTTGTTTTTTTTTGACATTTTAATTTGTTTTCTATTTGCCCATTCGTTTCGTCGGCCGTGCAAAAGCATACGTGTGTGTCCGCGCACGCACGCGCACATCAAAATCAGTTCATGTGTGCAAAAAGTGTATCAAGATTAATAAGTTGAAAGAGAAAACATCCATATATGTTTGAATCGCTGACGAAGGAAATTGGAGCGTTTGCTACATGTGCATTGCGTATGTGTGACATAAATAGTGTTGGCAGCAAGAAAAAATAAGTAACATAGAAATACCCGTAATAAATGTTTCTCTTCTTTCGCTCGCAAATCGAATGGGAAAAAAGCGAGAAGTGAGCAAGCTCACGGACGGAGAAAAGAGCCCATGCAAGGAAATCGCTGAAAGTGCAGAAGATTAAGAAACACACAAGAACAACCAGCACCAACAACAACATTGAAAAAAGTGAAATTTTCACGTTTGTCTGTTATTAGCTGCCGAAACAAACAAATTACCGTCATAAAGATTGAACATCGACACAACGCTCAGTAGAAGCAGATGAAAAAGACACACTCGACAACATCAACTGAGACAATAATCATAATATCGCACCGTTACCTCTGCCATACGTATGAAAAAATCGAAAATTTGTAACTCGCAGCGTTGATTTCAGTTTCGTAATTACAATTTTTTTCTTCACTGTTCCCCATTCGATTCGGGTTGTACTTTTTCCAAAGCGAGAAAGAAAGAGAAACATAATTTTATTATTATGCGAATAAAAAAAAAACTCTGCAAAACATTACAAACTGTAACAAAAGAAATTCATCGTACGGAAGAGTGAGTGAATGAGTGACAAAAACATTATCGAATTAAAAAAAAAATTATAACAAAAGTATAGGCACACGGTGACCGAAAAAGCTACATATACCGAATCAACAGCAATAATAATTCGTCGTATACACGCAATCCACCGTTCGTTTATTAATTCACCGACTATTTTGACAAAGACGCTGAAATTACGCAAATAAAATGCTACAAGTGCAAGTAAGTTTTGTTTGGCTTTCTGTTTTTTTTTTGTGTGTTATTTCGTTTTTTTTCCTCTGTTTTGATCTTTTCTTTTGCTGCGTTTCCATTGTTAATTTTCAACATGCTTGATTTCGTGATTGCATTGTCACATCGACACAGGAACAAAAACAAGAGAAACAACCAGAAATGCGAACGATAAATTATATATTAAGTGGATTTCTTTTCACTCTGCGCATTTTCCATGGAAGTCTGGCTCTGTTGTGACGAATCATAATTAAGAATTAGGTTTTTCCCAAATGAACGTTTTCAAAACGTCAATTCGTGATTGATGACTCAAAATGCTATAATGTTTTGCATTGGCACCATTCGCGTTTGGGATGGTAATGCGCGTCTTTAGATTAACTGCCATTAAAAACGTGAGCTTTTTTTCTTCTGTTTGAGTGATTAAATGAAGTCGTCAATTTGATAGATATCGTTTTGGGACACGAAACATGGCATCGGCGGCGGCAGCGATGGGTTTTTTCTTCGGAAAAGCATCGGATGGAACGAATCAATAGAACAGACTATATGAGCAATGCACAGTTAAAAAACGGCCAAAACAAAAAGTCAATTGCAAATTTCACTAGCTCCGTTGAGCATGTGTGTATGCGCTGTGCGCACATAAATAAAAGCCTGTTGTAGAATTCAAGCCAAAAGAAATCAAACGGTATTGAAGCGAAGACTTATGTGCTTGTGCTCTGAGTATGCATCTAAATCAAGGTAACGCCGCAGCAGATCAGCATTTCTCGCTTCGCTAACTGACTCACTTTCAAAGGTATACACACAAACCGAAGTGGCCGCCGACGATCCATTTGCAAAGAAAATGCTCTGGCTTCGGTTTTTTCTGCTACAATTCATCAGATTTGATTTGATTATTGGATTTGTTAAGTTTCATTATTTGGTTTGGTTTAGCTATATGGAAAGATCGTTTTGGCTTTGAAAATGGAGCCGCACGCTTCACTTCGAGAGTAATTGCGATTCGAAGCCACTGTGCAATTGTGCATGTCGCCGCATGTCATCGTATTCAGGCGCATAAAATTGAAATGCTTTTGCATTCGATTGCCGAGCTTGGCGCTCACTTGTACATTCAACTACCATTTGAAATTCTACGCTTTTTGCGTAAGTGTGTCTAACGCTTGCCAGCGCGACATGAAAACACAATTAAATGGCAATTATCCACATTTTTTTTTCTATCTACTTCTTCTTGTTGTTGTTGCTCATCTCTCTATTCACTTGTTCGATTTTCATTGTTGTTGTGGTTGGTTAAGACACAATTGTTTTATTTTTAAACGGGATTTTGGTATGTGGATCTCGGCTATTCATCATTGTCGCCGTCGTCGTCGTCGATGTCGCGATCGAAATCGATAAAATTCCGATAAAGTGAAAAGAGTAATTCGTTTGTTTGTGACATTTGATGTTTCAAATGAATTCACGCTGTGCTGTTGCTGTTCTTCGATTGTTGGCAATTTATAAATCGATCACAGTGTTTTCAATTTTGATGAAATGACAATGATTTTCGATTTTGATTGTCTGCGACAATAGTATTGCTCAATTACGCCCAATTCCGCAATGAGTCAAGACGAAAAACTCGATGCCGAAAGAAAGCGACACACCACTCGAGAAATAACAAAGCATTCACAAATGTTCACAAGCAATTCATTTCGCATTTGCATTTCTATTAAACAACGGCGATGATAATACGTGGGTAATTACGATCGGCTCATTCAAAATCTCGCACATTTTGATTGACACTTGCGGAAATCAAGTGTGATTATTTATAATATTTGTCACAGATGTTCACTGATTGAAATTTCATTAAAAAATATACTTTCCATTGTGCCATTCATTGAAATGCCCACATTTCGAGAGTCATTTAAGCAAATGGGATTTCAAACCCTCAAACAACAACAACAATCAAAAAATTTCACCGCATTTCAAATTACTCAGCACACATTGTTTCGCCTGACTGAAACACTATTCACATGTAATTCAAATGCTTTTTTTTGGAAGTGACCATTATATTTAGGAAATTTAGTTCATTCGTCGACACATTTCAATCGGAGGAAGTAGCTCCGGTTAGTTAGCATTTATTTCCATGTCGTAATTACGATTTTATAATGAAAGAAAAAAATTACGCGAAATCTTCGAAAATGAAATGTTGCAAGCCCATTGTCTAAGATTGGTCGTTTGAACAGCACGCACTTTTCGACGAAACATTCATGCCGCCAATTTAACGGTACACACAAATTACGAATGAATCATTCATTCATTTGTATACTTCGTTTAGTGGCATTGATATTACGTATTGCATAAACGATGACTCGAACAAAATCCAAGACACTTTTTATTCGTCTCAAAATCAAAACACAAGAGTTAGGCTGCTTTATAATTTACAACTTTTGTAAAAAAGCTTGTCGTACATAACACAAATGCGTTTGAAAATTGTGTTTTTTTTTCCTCGATAGAAGAAAATAAATCTAGTTGCGGCATTAGAAAGAAGTGGAGATTTTACCGGTTCGCTGTGCCGTCGACCAACGTTCAGCCATTCAAAAACAGACACACGAAATATGAAAGTTATTGATCGATAACAACAAGTAACTAGTAAACAAGGTTGGCTAAATGGGGCAAAAATAAAGCAAACAAAACATATATACATGTAACTATCCATTTACGAAACGGTTCGAGAAGCCAATTGAACACGTAAAGTAAAAAAGACAGAAGAGAGAAAAAAAAACCGCAACGCGCACGGAAAAAAGCACACCGAAGAAATACATGGAGTGTTGTAGTAGTAAAAACAACGGCCAATCTAAATGACTAATTTCGTTCTGAACGTGTTTGAGTTTATTTCGTTGTTTCGCATGAAACGTGTGGAGAACGCGCACACCGCACAAAAGTTTCATGCAAATTTCTTCCGTTGTCTGAATCACTGTATTTCTTCGTACAACCGAATGCGCAGAGAGAGAAAAAAAAACCCGAAAATAAATATCAAGTTTAAAGTAGAATTTATTGCAACCGTGTATACGCCAATGAACGAAATCTGTTTTAAGTCATTCGAGGCGACAGCCATAATGGCACTAAAACAACTGTAAAGTTTTCAATAACGACACGGGAATATATTTTCTGTAATAAGGTTAAGTGCAAATAAGAAAGGAAAAACACCACTTCTTAGTTCTGTGCACATCATGATGTTTCTTCTTTCGTATGTGAGTGTGTATGTGTGTGTGTGAGTGGCTACCTCAGCAGAAGAGATGAAGAAATAAAAACGTAATTCTTTGATTCGCACCGTTTATTGCCGTGGCCCAACCAGGTCAATTTCGCTTGATTTGCGTCAATTTTAGGAAATTCGGAGTATTTAATATGCATCATTTTAATGAAAATTTCGTCTTGAGTGACCAAATCATGGTCTCTCGACTCGAGTCAGCAAGATGAAAACGACAACAAAAACTGTGTGTCTTTCATATTTATTATACTAATTGCAACGATGCGATGAATATGAATGGTTTTTATTTATATGTGGCCCATTTTTGAAGATTCATGCGATTTTGTTTGTTTGTTTGTCTTTTTATTTCGTTCTTAATTTTGCTTGGCATGCATTCAGTTGCCCTGAATTTCTGCGAATTTGGTGGACCCAATTGTTTCACTCATTTGTGCTCGCTTCTTCTTCTTTTCTTTTTTTTTTCGCAAAGAACATATTAATCGTATTACGAGGCAAACGAAAGTTGAATTTGAAATGACATTTGAAGTAACCAGAAATAAATATTTCCATTTCATTCGTTCACACTTCATTTTCATTCGGTTCAAATTCAGAGCCTGATGCGTAAGTTGCGCGCGCTCGCTCGCACAAAACATTACGCGGAAAAATGCTTCAACGACCTCATAAAAATTTCAGATGAAATCCAAAAATAAAACGGTGCGTCCATTGACAATGATTGTGAATGATGTGTGCTGTGTGATGCTTTTCTCTCACTTGAACACTTCTATTTCACGTTCTGAACATGTGCGGTCATCGGCATCGGATCAGATGTGTCGCACGATTCCAGAATAACTGTGTCAAAACAAACAGAAAGATAAAAAAAATAAATTCATATATATCACCTCTAAATCTTCCGGCAACGGTAGAAAAGCGATAAATATCTCAGATTGTGATATTTTCCCTTGTTTTCTTTGAATTTTCGGAAGACAACTTTCGTTTTTCTTTTTTTCAACGTTTAAATTTTACTTTCGGCTTCAACGATTCATTGTAATGGTTTTCTTCGACAAAAAAAAGTTAAACGAAAAGGAAAAAAAAGAGAACGACAAACAGCGGATCGGACACGCACCGAAATGAGCAAGCTAATCCATTGTTTGTGTGATTTCTTTTAACGCGCCTATTAATCTATTCCGTGTGTTTGTTGTTCTGTTTTGCGCGTCGTGCTCTTTATTCAGCGACAAGTTGATTAAATGTCTGGAAACTTTGCAATGCCATGCAGAAGGAAAAAAGAAGAAATAACACGGAATTTTACGAAAAAGTAAGGAAATCACATAAAATGTGATTGCTTCATGCAGTGATCTGAACCGCAAGAAGACATAGCTCGTACGCGCGTCAATAGCAACTATTTTCTCTCTCTTTCATTTTTTTTTTGGCTAGATACTTTTCTCTTTTCTCTTTGCCATTTCGACATACAGACAAAGATACACACATGATCGCAAAAAAACACCATGTATGTCTTCACTTGAGGTGAGTTTTTTCTCTCTTCATTTGACTCATGCAAAATGTCGAGTGAAATGATCGCTGTTAATTATGTAGAAATGAAAATAAATGTTCAACGAGCTGGAAGAGAGCCACATTTCATTTAGACAAATTGATCTATCTGCGAGCTGACACGACCGACCTCAAAGTGTAAATTACCATATGTTGGTTTTCGTGTAATTGATTAACACTGATTAATTACCCCAAAAAATCGACAGACGCGCATAATTTCTTCGTGTTACTTTCATTTTGCATAGCGCGAGAGTGTTCCATACAGTCGCATTTGTTACAAAACATTGACAAGTGATCATTTTGTTGTGTGTTGAAATGAGATATGGAAAACGATACCGATCGGTTGCCGTAGATCCGAAGAAAAAAACATTAGCTAATTTTCAAACAAATTGCGATATTAATGTACTGCAGTCAGGCGAGAAAAAACGGGGTTCATCCAGTTCCACTAGTGAATGCCTAATGATCGAAATTAAGTAGAAATTAAATAACTAGAATGATGTCGATCACACACACGCACACACGCCGATTGAATCTGCAAATTATTATCCGCGAGGTGAATATATTGTGGTTTGGAACTCAATACAGAAATCAAAGTGTTTCTTGATGCATAGTAGAAATCCATTGCGGCTATGGCTACGCGTAATTTTCCACTCAATGGATAACTATTTCAACGTTTTAGTTTTTTTTTTCTGCGTGTGGCTTTGTTTTTACATCGATTGTGTGGCCTGTATGCATTCAGACTGAAATAATTTCGGCCTAATATCAGCGAACGGAGAGAGAGAGAGAGAGAGGATAGCAACAACTGAAAAAATGAAATTATTAATAATACAATAATAATGACGGTGTTCCGTATTCACTCATCAACGTCACCCGGGCCGGTGTTCTTGCCATCAATTTTCAGTTTTGGATTCCTCAAATGATGGCGTGCTATTGATGTCGATCAAGTTTTCATGCTGGTTTTTTTTTAATTCTCTTCTTTATTTCGTTCGAAACGGTTCTGGTCGCGAGTTAATAACCGTCGACTGTAGTCTATTTTATAAATACAGTCCATTTGAAGTGTGTAGGTATACACCAACACGGCACAGAACCATTGATTGCTTTGTTCCAACGGCCTTGGTCTTTCAGATTGTTTTTCGACCATGTTTTTTTTACCCACAATGTAATACGAACGAATGTTTTTTATATCGCGGTTGTTGTTGTTGTTTTTTTTCATGTACATACACAACACACGCTTGTTGCGGCTTAGCCTGTTGTTTGTTCTTTTCGCATCGATTGATCTTTCGCTTGGCGAATCAGTATCGAAACTTCGCACGGGTTCAACGACATTAAAAAAAAAACGCCAACCGTAACGAGTTGCCGCGTATAAACATACAAATTATCTGTAGTAACACAGCAGACAATAGAGTCAGAACATAACGGTCTACCATAGCGCTGAACGATTGAGTGTATTTTTTTTGTGTGAGTCACAAATACAAAAATCATACGGCATTAAGTGACCCCCTTGAAATTGTACGAAATAATTGTGAAATATCCTCTTGATCTAACTGTAAAACGAAATTTCAATTTGTCAAAACGTGCTGAACACCGCGCGAGCACAATCAACGAGAAATGGAACCGCCGAAAAAAAGAAGCAATTAATAAATTAACAGGCAATCCAAATTGGGCGTTTTCCACTGCTCTGAAGCAATTCATTGCTGTATACTGATTATGCCATTTAAGTCGCGATGTCAATTAGGCCAAATAACCCCGAATATCAACATTTAAAACATCTTACCTTCGAAATACACGCGAAAGATATCCAACTAATCAGATATGATTAAATGGGCTATATTTAAATTGGAAAGGAGAATTACTACTCAATGTAAGCGATTTCGTTTCACATTGAATTTTTAATCAACGCCTCGCATCCATTTAATTTGATTGAATTGATCAATGGTCGCCGCTGTTGCCTCTGTCGGTGCTGCTGTTATTGATGCGGGCATCGAAAATCACCACAGCAAGACTTAATCAAAAGCAAATATTGAATTAAGTCCATGTCGAACTAACGTTTTAATACGGATAGATATTCATGAAAACTGAATTTTAACACCGAAGCATTGCTAATGTGTCAGATTGTCCTCTAATCACATTCAATTAGGACGTGCCATTATGCCGCTCTCTCTCTCTCTCTCTCTCTCTCTCTCTCTCTCTCTCTCTCTCTCTCTCTCTCTTCAATTCACCGAAGACAATAGAACGCATTAGAATGAGTCATGGCGGTCGGCCATACACAGGAAAAGGCAAACCAGTTTTTACCATTGAACCTATGGAAATTGGCGTGCACTTTTGTGTGATCTCATGGTGTCCGACGAGCGAAGAAAATTAAAATATTTGAACAAGTTTTCGCTGGACACCGTTTAAAAAAAAATTGTAATGAAACATAGAAAAATATCGCCATGTCGAAACTGTTGGAAAAATAAAATTCACAATGTTTCATTTCATGTACACAGCGTTACAGTTGTTCACAGAGCATTGCTACATAACTGACAAACATATATAAATAAAACAACAAAATATATATATCTATATATTCACTCCAAAAACATCGTTCCGCTTTATTGCTTGCTAGTTTTGTTTCAACGCGTTTGTTTTTTCTCTTCTCTCAACTTTTTCGACTATCGCAATTGTATGAAATCAAAAATTGTTCATTTAGTTCGGTGGGTATGCAATGCGAAAAAAGACCGAACGAATGAACGAGCAAAACACAGTCGAGAAAGAAAGAAAAAACAAATTTGGAAAAAGTTTTGAGTTCTATGTGCGTTTTTCTATTTGATGCGTATATATTTGAATAAAATTTACAACCGTTTTCAATATACAATTTACATGGCAAACATTGTTCTTCCTTTTCATAATAAAAATTTAATGGGTAAATAGATTGGCGTTTTATTTCTAGTTTGGAAACATTGGGCACAATTTATCGAAGCTGCAATTTCAGAGAGATGAGAGAAAGATAGCGAATGTCGACGTATTCAGTGCCGATGAGAGGCGAATTATAAATAAAATGTTTGTTCTAAAATTATCAGTGGGCCTGTGTGAGAGTGCTTACGCGCGGATGCATGAATTCAGCTTTGGAATATCAATGGCCAATACGCGAATGTACTGCACATTGTCTACAAGGTTCATGCATAATGGATCAGGCGTACCATTCGCTCCATCAAGCCATAAATTACGCCATGAATCGCGCGCGCGCGCGAGAGAGAGAGAGAGAGAGAAACTATCATCGTTTGTCCGATCACATATATAATGTATGAATATGAAGTGTTTCACAGGCCATTATTACCGATAGCCTTTTCCCATTCTCCGGCATGAGTTTGATTTTAAATTAAAAGTGTGCAACAGGAACAATAAAAGCGGCAAATATTGTGTTGGCTTGTTTTTCGTTGCCTTTCCTTTCCTTTGTTCGTGGATGGGATTTCGTTAACGAAATTTTATTCGATCGGCGACGATGCGGGCACAACACTCTTCTGCAATTAATTTTACAAATAAATAAATATCATTGCTATTTTTATGGAACAAAATTGAAACGATGCCGACGATCAATTCATTGAATCAATAATTTCAAATTGAAATTGAGACCCGTTGAATTGATCAAGCAAACGAATGGGGGGCTACATGTAAAATAAGCAGGCAAAACTCTCTGAAAATGACTTGTTTATGCCTTGAGAATTCTTGTCAATGGCCAATTGAGTGCGAGTGGTTTTTTTCGCTGCTGCTTCTTTTCTTCTTCTTTCGTTCACTCACTCACAAAGGAGATAAATAAAACCACTTGAAATGCTGTCAATTGGATCAGATGAGCGCAAATGAGTGTAATGTACGCCACACACGCATACCATCATCAGTCTTCGGTGTGATATGTTGAACACAAACACATGCGCACACGGTGCCTGTACCATCGATAATACATTGACCCAGATAGAAGTGTATGCGTTCTATTCTGTATCGTCCATAGAGATTTCTCTCACTCTTCGCATGTCTATGCATATATACATCGAGCGCTGTATATCTAAGCACAAAGAACCCATGCAGAATGAAAACAAAACTAAGTTTCTGCTCTTTTTTCGGTCGCTGTCTACATCTGTGGCTCTAACACGCTCATCACATACACCATACCATTTCCATGTAAATGTGTGTTTGCATAACAAGAGTTTTTTTTTCATGTAATTTTCGGTGCTTGTGGTTCAAAGTACAATGACTTAAAAGCGATTGTCTGGCTGAAGGCTTTGCTTCTTGGTCACTCTTGTACACTCCTTTTCGGTCGTTTAGTCGTTGTTCTTTTTTCTGCTGTTTGTTGCCTTTGTGCTCGCAATCAATATGTCCAGTCAGTTGCTAAGCTTTGCACACAGCCTGTAACAGATACACGCTGCTATATTAAATGGAAACACGCGAGTCAAAAAGAGCTCACTGTCACTGACCACTGATATATATATATGCAAAAATTGATTGGAAGAATGGGCGGCTGCGAAAACCTCAACACAGCAGTTCACAGGCCTCAACCGATAAAATGTCAATCGAATAAAGTATGATTCAGCGATTGCTTCCTCGTTGAATGCATCATTGAAAAGAAAATATACGACTATTCCGGATTGCGATATGATTCACAGCAAAGCCATACAAACGGCATAAAGGAAACTACGTTGTTTTCTTTATTTCTCTCTTCCATTCTCAGGCATTCCCCATTGAACTCCGAACGGAATAAGTTTTTCTGGTTAATTTATTTATGATATAATTTATTCGTATGTACACAAATTCTTCTGTTGTTATTCTCAAAATAACGTCTTTGTTGTTGGTCTTTGATGCAGTCGCTGCCAGTGCTCTGTGTGTGTATATATATAGATATCTATATGCGTGCTGTGTCTTCGACGACAGTAAGGAGAAAACAACAACATTACATTACACTCGAAAGCATGAGTGTGCTGTGCTGTGCATAGAGTAGATTCGTTCAGTCAGTTATGATTGTGTGAGTGTATGCACAAATATCTTTCTCTTTCGATTTGCCTCGGTAGCTCAGTACGTGTGCATATATGTATGTGTGTGTGTACCTCATGCTGAGCATACTGTATCCATTGCGTTCTGTCAAACACAAACGCGGCATCTCTATGTATTGGTGCCCTCACTGAGCCTACATACTCGTTTCGGTTTTTTCGGTTTTGTATACATCGAAGTCCATAAGCGATTCATTGTGCATGTAGAAATGCTTTTATCTTATTAGGGTAGCCAATTTTTTGTTCATTTCAATCGATTTTCAAAGCCAAAACAGGCTAAATACACGAATTGGTTTATTTCTCTTGTTGGCTGAACGACCGCATCGAATACACGATATAGCCCAAACGATTCATGACGACAATTCGTTCCATGTCACCCTATTGGCTCATGCTTTTGTGTACAACGTACACTTTTTCCGTTGCCGTTGTTGTAGTGCTGCTGCCGCTGCGGTTGTTGTTATTGTTGTTGTATTTTGCTATTACTTTTTCTTGCTGTCGCTCCATGCACACACAACTCTTTAAAATCGGAGTTTCAGCCAGCAGTCTTGTTCGGTTTAGTGAAGCATACAGACGTTTGATATCGCTTGTTTGTTGACCTAAACACCCAAATCAAATAGTTTACATAAAATTAAAAAAAAATAAAGGAAAATATTTTGATTTGAAGAACAAATCGTGCAGTTACTTTACAAATTTTGTGTTTAATTTCAAGTTTTTGTTTTAAGTTGCTTCGGCTAATAAGTTTTCATTGACGGTTGGTGTTATAAAAACAAACAGATTTCCATTCCGATTCACATTCAATACATCCAAATTTCGACCAGACTAAACAAATCCAAATTCTTTTATGTCAAATGAAATTCGATTTTTTTTTCTTGCTTCGGTTCAGTTGGTTTTTCGTTCGTTTTTTTTTTTCATTGATTAAATTTTTGGTGTAGTTTAGTTTACTTCGGTATATACCTGCGAACCAAGCAGCAGGATGTAACCATTGACTCAAGAGCCAAACAAAGGCGACTTGGTGAAATAATGCATTGAAAAGTGTTTGCTATTCAATAAGAAGAAGAAGATATTCGTTAATATTATTGGTTTTGATTCACTAATTCGCGATTCGAAGCAAAGTTAATTAGAAATGGTGATCTTAGCCTATTACGAGACGAAAGTAATACGGATTTTGATTTCGAAATGACTTTTTCAGTGATAAAATTCGAATCTTTCATCGTCTTTAAATCAAAGAAAATTAGAAAAAGAGAGAAGCAAAGAAATGAATGAAGAGAGAGAGAAGAAAAAGCAAGTTGAAAAAAATATGTTAAAACGAAAAGAAGAATGGTCGATGGTCGTCTTTTTGTAATGTTGTTGTTTTGGTCTGTGCTCTGGTGCTGCATGTCGATCTGTACAATTAAAATGGAGGAACTTTTCAGATTACTGCGCATACATTCACACATCGACAGATGTTAGCACAAAACAAAACCGTCCATTTAAACACACAACACATACTGCACACAAATACACACGCAAACACACACACACACACAGACGCCCAATGTACCACGGTTCAATGATGGAGTGAACGACGAGAGAATACGCAGAGAACGTTTCTCTCGTTGATATAACGAGAAGATTCAGTTCAGTCTTTTTGTTTTGTCAAAATGAACCTTATTCGACTATGTAACATAAAGGCCATATTGTGACCATGCCCTATGTACGAAAAAATCTCTGAAATTTAACCCCAAACGTCATAAAACCACAAAACCCATAAATAACAAAGGGGCCCATAAAAAAAAACGCTTGAAACAACAGTGAAAAAAAAGATAACTAAAATCAAATAAAAATGTTGATTTTTATCAGAACTGCATATTTCAGAAACAACGATAACAAACTTAAAAATACTTGTTGTTCATTCGTTGAAAGAATAAAACCGAGTCGAGCTGCGCCGGAAACGTATTCAATGCAATCGTCGAAAGGTCTCTGCATTGTGTTCGCCTTTTATCATTCCCAAGGAATCTATCACACGTAGCATATCTGAATTCCAATAACTATCACAGGCAACAATTAAGATAAATAAAAACGTGAAGAGAAAGAACGGGAGAGAAAGAGAGAGAGAGAGAGAGAGATGAAAAATAACAAAATGAAAAGAAAGGCAAACACACACGCGAATATGTGTAATGGTTCGGTCAAATACGTGTATACAAAGGAACATTCACTGACTTGAAAAGATAGATACGGGCACGCAACAAAGAATTGAACGTTCAATATGAAACTATTGGCCTTAAAAAAAAGAGAAAAAAACACACACACCACAAACAGCATAAACAGCTACACAGCAAATCGGCTGATTATGTGTATTGAGCACATTCTCGAGTCGAATTCATTGCATCGTTTCCAACTGCACCAAAACTGCACACATCCACACAAAATGTAGAATCAAATTAAATAAACAAACGAAGACGAAAATGATTCACTTCAACGATTACAATCATATTTTCAATTTATTAGTTTCAATAACGCGCTCTCAATTGTTGTGCAGTGTTCAATTGCTTACTTAAGTTCATATTATATGTATTTTCTATGTGAATACAAATATTTTCTTTAAGTACAAGTAATTTGATATTTGGCTTTGAACGGGGTTTTAATGTATCGCGATAGCGATTGCTTATTTCCAACTTTTCAATTCGGCCCAATCTAATTCGAATTCGTCCCAAAAATCGAATCGACCGAATCTCAACGAAATTCACATAATCGCCCCATCCCAAAAGAAAAAAGAAAAGCGAACCATACGAACGCCTAAATGTTTTGTAATGAATCATAATGTTATGGACTCTATTGATAATATTATCGCAAACATGCTTGTGCTCATTGTTGCATCGCAAAAACTCGCTGAAAGAATTTCCAATTTTTATTCAGTGATCAAAATTATTCAAACGGGCCAATAATAATAACAACTATGACAGCGATGAATATAGAAAAAAAATTTATAGTCGATTGTGCAATGACAATTGAAAAACATGGGCGAACAACTAGCACAAACGTTGAAATACGAATGCGCGCGCCAACCTGATGTGATGCATTCCATACTTATATTATACAAATTAAGTATTCAATCTTCTTTTTTTTATTATTTTTTATTTGTACGTACACTTTTTCTTCTTCTTCTTTCAAGTTCCACGCGCACATACAATGGAATGGCGTTCAAGAGTTAATTTATAAGTCCTAAACCGAAGCATTTGAAAACTTAGCACAAATAATAAAATAATAATGATGATGATGAAAAAATTACAGTACAAAACTCGTGCATTCGATTACGTTTTCGTTCGCCGTACACGTTCATGTTCATTTCCATTGGCGCAATTACAATTACAATGCGCCAGAAGAAGAATTGGTGCTGTTGTGCTTGATAAATCCATAAAACTAAATATTTTATTTATTATTTGCTTTATTGCACACGCAGACGTGTACGGTTTACTTGTCGATAGTATACGATACGTAATTTGATGTGTACGGTTTACGCCGAGTTGCGTTGATCTCTTTCATATTCTCTCTCTATTTATCTCATTTGGTTCAGCTGCAACATCACACACACTCGGACACACACGCTCACACAAACGCAGCTCTTTCTCTCTTCTCTGAATCGGTGTGCGATCATGTGAGCTGATGCAATGCAAATATTCTATGAAATTGACTTCATTTTCTTCAATATATGTTGATATTGTCTGTGCAGCCCATCTCGTTCCGACTCTCTTCCCATTCCCATTCATACATTCCATCGCGATGGTACAACTATACGTACATATGTTTGAATTAAAGATAATTTTCTGTACGATTCAACAGCAATTTTTGTATTACGCAGTCGGAGCGTTGGAATTCATTAAGATACATGGTGCGCGATTGAGTGAGATGGGAGCGATAGAGAGGGGCAAACAAACAACAAACAACTGTTGCTAGTGAGAAGCAGCAATTTTTATTGTTAAATTTCGAAAATCGTTTGATGTTCGCGTACAATGTTTTCTTTCTCTCTCTCTCTCTCTCTCTTTTCATTTTATGTATTCGCTGCACATAGTTCCAGTTCGTTCTTCTTCATCTTTTACTGGGCAAGATGAAAATTTTGAAACGGTTCTTTAAAATGCTTCATTTCTTTAGGTTTGCTTCTAATTACATCGAAGAAGCTAAGAATTCTTGTGTAACAACAATTAATCACATCAAAAGAGATGAAATTCCCATTCAAGCACCAGCCTAAATAGAATGAAAAGTGCCATGATTGCAAATGCTTTCACACAACAAAATATGAGGAATGTTCATTCGATTACCATAATTTGATGAGATACATACGAATCGAAATAATAACAATAACAACAAGAAAAGAATGAACGGCACGACACACAGTCCCAAAAAAATCGAAGCATACTTTTACGCTTCACACTTTTCATTGGTTATTTTGCTCAGGCGCAAATCGAATATCTAAATACACACATATAGAATATGTTTGGCTGTGGAGCATTCTAACATCCCAGCTCGTTTCGAATGAGAGAGAGAGAGAGAGAGAGAGAGAGAGAGAGCAGCAGCAGGAGCAACAACAATGAGAAGAGCTATACCGTGACCGCAATAACTTGATGACGTAATTGACGTCACCATATAGTCATTGGAGAAGTATCCTTCGTATATATACATATATATTTTGTTGCCAATGGCACTGCCTCGGTGGCCCTGCGACAAAACCAAATTTACTATGCTTACGCAATTCGAAGGATAGCAACACCACTTGCCGTCAGTATGGTCGGAAAAGCGGAAAATCGTAAAAGAAACCAAGTATTGGCTTGACGGAAAAGTAACTGAATTGTTGGCGACAAACTCAATGCTATCCAATGGCTTGACTATCAAATTGGACTTTGAAAATAAAAAAAGGATGTTATTGCCTCATTTGTGGCATTATTTGATTACAAAATTAGGAACGATAACATTGACCGACAGTATGTCCAACAAACAAAACTCAACGGCCCCACTAAAATATGTCTCCATGTGTATGATTCACGTCTCGCACGAGTATCATAATTGGGCCTTTACTATAAAAAAAAAACAGTACAATATTTAGATCAATGGGACTGCTCGCCTATCAGAACGTGTTATTTGTACATCGAGTTTTTTCTTCTTCTATTTTTGGTGTGCAATTAATGAGACACAATTTGGAAATCCAATCAAAACCATTAATAATTTGGGCAATTCCACTAGAACTGGAAATGTTTGTGACCTCAATTGATGTGTTATCTTCGAAAGAGGAAACCAATTATCTAAGCCTGACTCAAAAGTGATCAAAATAAACCGCAATACGACTTAAAACAAAGTCGTGGACAGACTCATAATCACTTTTATAATTTTATGACTCGCATAAAATGGGTTTTTCTTTCTTATTCGCTTTGTGAGAGAAAGAGAACTCATTTCACTTCTGCCATGGCATTTGAACATTGTACAGTTAATCAGCTACGTTTTGTTTCTCTACATATGTATATAAGCTGCATCATAGAGCCGCGTTCTCTTTGTATATTTACTTTCCCATTTGGATAGTACGACAGAAAATGCTATCGACTCAACGTTGTCGACAGTCTGATATACGAGAGGTTATGTAAAATGTTAGTAATTCATATTCCAACGAGCTGATATTAATATTTTCTTTTATGTGCGCTGCTTTTTTTCGGTTCACACAAAAAAAATGCATTAAGTAATTCGCAGAATCAAGAGAAGAAAATAGAATATACAATAAAGTGGAATTTCGAATGGAGCGAGTGTATATATGTGTGTGGTAAATCGGCCGAACCCCTCAAATAAATGATATTGTATAATAAATATTCGTTTGTTTCCATTTGCACGGAGCGATTTTATCATTCCGATTTCGTTTAAAATAAAAATGTTGGTTATTATAATTGTGCTTGTTTACTTTTCCAAACACAAAGTTATCGCGCGAATGCATAAATTTGCTAACATCTTATCATGCAACAAACGTCAAGAATGTTGTTTTTGCGTTTATTATGTATATATTTTTTTTGCAAATGGAATACATTGGCTAATTAAGAAAAATGACCCATTGTTTGTCGATGTGCAGTCTACGTCGGCAAACAATCTCCTTAAAATTGAATTGGAATGGATGAATGGCGGCTGGCGACTGGCGTTTCGTCTCGACTTCGACATTGATTGGAAACAACATTTGAAGAAAGTTTGCACATTACATTTTCTCTGTCTATCTCTCTTTCGCTCTGTCTCTCCTCGCTTATCAATTAACTCGGACGACGGTGCAGTCATTATACTCCGTTTTTCGTAAATTGAAAGCGACCATCACCATCGTGAACAAAAAAAACTTTGTCGAAAGCGAAATTGGAGGCTCATAAATAAACATAAATCGTCTGTTTTAATTTTGTAAATCTTCACACACGCTTACTTTTCAATGCAAAATGTTTCAACCAGACTACAATCGAAAAAAAAAAGAAAGAAATACATTTGAAAAATATCATCTTGCAAACAACAACTTTTACTACTTTTACAGATAAGTTCCAGAAGTGTACAAATTAGTCTGATCTTATGCTCAATATTTACCATTGCAACTTAAGAAGAAAAAGAATAACAGTAGAAGAAAAACCAAGTGAATTAGCCAAGTTGACGTAATCAGTGGTTTGAGAATAGTGCTTTTCATATGCAAATATCATAAATGATATGTTTTGGCGTTTAAACATATATACAAGCGATTACGAGATATTTGATGCATCCAAGTGACTTAAACAAGTAAACAGAGGAAAATAGGTTGAAACAACTTATAAATAGAGATTGAAAATAGATCAAGCGTTTTACAATCGCTTAATAAAAATAGAATTGTTCGCGGAATTCGATTTTTTGTTGTGTTTTCAACAAACGAAGCAGCTTCATTTCTTCGAATTGATACCGAAATATATAAACAGTCAATGTAAATGTTGGGAAAAATGTACGATCGTGAAGTTGTAAGTATCAAATTCGTCACATATATCAAATGTATTTTGTTTTTGTAGCCGTTTCATCTGCAAATTGGAAATTTGCCCTTGAAATTTTGTTCTTGACATAGTTTTACGGGAGGATAATAATTTAAGATGCTTTGTATTTATTTCGGTTAACATCAGCTGATTTTCAATTTTAAGTATACTTCTTTGCTTTAAAACTACAGACATCAAAGGAGAATTTCAAGAAAGAACTGACACACCCTTGTGCTGTAGCACTTCATCGAACCCAGTTATTATTTTCCACCCTCTTCTAACCAAACTCACATTACCTATTCTGTAGCTCAATAAAAACAAGTACTCCACAAAATATGTGTAATTTCTGACATAAAAAGTCGTAAGCATGTCATGCAGAAGACGAATGAACGTAAATATGTTTTGGAATGATTTGTCATGCGATTGCCATATTTGACAAGCTCAGCATGTTTTTCCATGTTGCCGATGTTTTAGGAAAACGGAAAGGGAAATGTGCGCGATTCCAATATAGTTCGCATTGTAAGCGTTCGTTCGAATTGATTTGAATAATCCAAACAAAGCGAAACAAAACAGAACAAACCAACCAACTAAGCAAACAAGCGAATCGCGTCGCAAGCGCGCGATACCGTGTTCACAGGGCATGTAAGGAACGTGGAAGTAAATGTTTTATTGTTTGTCATTCACCAATTACATATGTCGCGATTTATCTTGATAAAATCACATGTGTATCATGCTTTCTGGCAAAGCATGCGACAATTTCATGTGATTCGCCGTTTTGCGCTTGGTTTCTGTTACAGTGCAGAATGGGGCCCCCGAATAGAAATAGCATCTAAAAGGAAATTGTACTTAATAGAAATCAATTTATGGGTTGTCACGGCGACATTGTAAAGTCATTTGTACACTGTTCATTTACGACCTTTCACAACTTCCAATTAGGATTCACCTAACTAATGATGTATTTCAAGATGAGTTTGCTTTTTCCGCATGGCGACCCGATTAAATGTTGACGTGTTTGAGACGCACATCACACGGTTCACAGGAAACGAATACAATTTTGAAAGTGAAAACACAGTGGAAAAGGCGTTTATTTAGTCTGCAAGTAAAATTGCGTCAAAAGCAACCGGTTTCAATTTGACCGAGTTTTCCGCAAGGAAATTATACACCAAAAGACCACGTGCAAATCGATAAATAAAACACTTAATAAGTACGTTGAAGCTATGGTTTTAACGCCAAAGTCAATTTTATGCGTTTATGACTACAGAGTTCCGGCATAAAAGTTTAACTAGGCACTAGGTTCGCATTATGGTGCGCGTCATGCAGGGTCACATATTGCCACAAATCAGGACAATAAAGAAAGAACGAAAAAGAAGCGCTTTTTTCGGGGCCAAAAGCTTATAAATAGTTTCATGTTAAAATTAGAAGACTGCGTGCTGTTCAAACCGGCATTTACGTCACAATCTCAAGCATACGTATAAATAAACATATGTCTTCTTGCGTCCAAATATGTATATCACGAATTTATCATTATCCAAATGTTTACGCAAATGCGAACGTCGCAAATGAAACGTGTAGAACGAACTCTCGAAACGCGACAAAAATGGGAAATAATTTCTAAATGTTAAATATTGAACTAATGTAATTTATGGATAGTGGTGAAAACGACTGATCGAACGTAAATATGGCATAGACGTATTCATTATGGTTATTGAATAAGGGGAGTTCTCGTATGTGTGTTCTGTTCCGTATGTGGAAAATCAAACACCAACAATCTGAACTATACCTGTTTGGTATTTCCACACATATTTAGCAAGGACATACTTAATAATGGTACGTGCATTAGGCACGCAATGTCTTGCGAAAGCAACAAATGTAAAAAAAAAAAATCTCGTGTCTCGGCCCGGTAATGCGTTCCACGCATGATTTTCAGTTTATCGCCGGTTGATTCGACGCGAATGTTTGTTTGTTGGTTTTTGTTTGGCTTTGTTTTATTGTAGCTCTCTTTTTTCACTTGCAACAATTCAACGATTTCCAATGCGTTCACATTATTATGCTTCACGAAAGCCGTCTTTGCCGTGCAATATATATGTATGTAATCAAGAAATCAAAATAAATCCACTTAAAAGCATAAATGGATGTAAATAAACACAATAGCTATAAATTACAATTCAATTGATATGAATTTATTTACATAAAATTGCTTGAATGATGATGATGATGATGTTGTAGATAATGAATCCGATTACGATGATAACAATATTCCAAAAATAGTTCGCATTTGAAAGCGCAAGTGAGGTCTAAATTTAGTCTCATCGAGAGAAAGAAAGATTCAAGTGTTTTGGAAGCCTCAACACAGATAACGCAAATAAAAGGCGTATTTCTTTTTTCGTTGTTGTAGTTTTTAAAACTTTAGTTTTAAAAGTTGCAATTGCAATTGATTTGCTCATGATTTATTTAAATGGAAATTTTTCCCTGTTTTTTTTTTCAGTTGCACTTTGATAATGACCGCGAGGCGCGTCGTGAGCGTGAAGTGCGTTTGACGGGTAGCAAATTGGATTTGAATTTTTGCGGTGCCTCACGTGCCAATGCCACAACAGTAAGCTCCATTCGGACAATCGATTCACATGGCAATGCTGTGTCGGCACTGTCGTCGCCTCAGAGCAGCAGCAGTAACAACAATGTATCACCGACACATGATGAAAGCGAAAAGTTTGCACCGATGACGCCATCCGGTAAGTTGTAGCCCACTAATACGTATTTTATCACAGCCGTGAAAAACATGTGTACTCGAAATAGCCTGAAACGTCGTTACGGAGGAGTTTTGCATAGAAGAAGCAATACACACGTGTATGATTATTAACTGCCACAAAACTGACATCGGCAAATGTAACGTGTTGCATGGAATTAAGCGATTAAAACATATGCGTGTGTGGTTTTGTTAATTCAACTGAATTGTACACGGGATAAAAGGCAACTGCCAACATCCCAATTGTGATACACTTCATTTCGTTGCCTATTTTTGTGTTAATATGCTCGTTTGATAAATACAAACCTTTCATACACAATCAACTACCTAAACTTTACTGTAAATAAAACGCCGCTATTTGATCATTTCATGGTTGGAAAACAACTGCCAGTTGTCTGCTCTATTGAATCAAGCTTGAACACAACATAAAGGTGGAATCAATGATTTTGCCGACGCTCCGGCACAAAGAATGGCTGAAAATCAAATAAATAAACGAATAAACAAACAGAAAACGCGGTTCAAAACACACAGAAACACAAAAAAAATGCAAACATTTAATCAATTGAAGCACATGATACAGACACACACACACACACAGTTGCCGTAGTCGTTACAAATATAGATTGCATGCATGTAACGAGCGAAAATTGAAACGACTCTTCATTCATTCTTGATGTTCATTCATCAAAAACGAATAATATGATGCGTACTACACCAACTGCGATTCGATTTAGATTGTATTTTGGTATCGATACATCGGCAGCAATTTGGCGGTGAATCGTTCACTTTGTTTGCTTTAGAAGCTCTGTGTGTTGTGTGCCATGGATGGATGATGGGCAAATCGACAAATGTAATATAGTCGGATACGCTGAACAGCAACAATGTTTAGAGCTATTTTTGTTCTCGCAATCACGAAACATCAACAACACACATCATTTTGTGTTTGATGAATTCATTCCAGCTGGTGTGCATTTTTTCGACTTGAATTCAACTATGGATGAACAAAAATGGATGAAAGTTCGTGAATTTTCAATGGGAATGTGGCTGGTGCCATGTGAATGCGATGAAAATTCTGAACAAATGTACGACAAAAACGGATCTAAAAATACAACTAACGCGATCAAGTGTTTAAACGTTGATATTCGAAAGCCTCCACGCAGTTTGATCATCCCATTAGACACATGTCTCGCTGATGTGATTTATTCTACAGTACATTAAATGCGATTTCAACTAAACTTCACGTTGCTTCACTTTATTTACTTATTTCTCGTGCGACTGTTTACAATTTTTCGATTGCGCGTTACTTTCAGCAACAACAATAACAATAACAACACAACAAAAACAGAACAGAGAAGAATACGCTGTCGTGATTATTGACAAGTAAATCGACTTAGCAAACAGTTTTTTGTTTGAGCAAATTTTCAATGTCAAATTTTTCATGAAAATTATGCTAAATAAACAACGACAATCGACGTCTATCGTACGTGCAAGTAAACTTTGTGTACTTTATTTTGCTCTCTCTCTCTCTCGATTTTTTTTTTGGATTTTGATTTGGTTTATCACGACTTTCAACATGTGTGACTAATGCTCTGTTTCCAAGTCTCGTGTACTTCTGACTCATTCCTCATTTGTCGTTCTTTTTTCTGTCTAATTTCATTAAATTGCTCAAACATGTGATTTATATATGCAATTATTATCAACGAGTTGCACATTAAATGAGTTCACATTCAACGTGCCACGGATTGAATATGCACCGAGACAGAGCCGGTGTTGGGAGTCAAAGCGTCTAAAATATGTGTTCGTGTGTTTAACAATAGTTTGATATATGGTAATTGCATTCAATTTTCATCCGATTTCAATTACCATGCCCAGGGAAACCACAATTCAAATGGCTGGAAAATGAATACGACATAATGTGCAGGGATACGAATCGTTTGCTGTACGACGCTTTTCCCGAAAAAAAAAGAATTACAATTTCGTTGTGGTGCACTTGACATCGAACATACGGCTCAAATATCACGAATACCCTACACATACATATATATATATTTAGATTAATAGCCGAGTGTTTGTTGCTAATTGCTTTTCGTATCTGTTATTTGTCTTTCTTTGTGTTTTCAGAGGCAGTTCGCCTGCATGGCAGTCGTCTCACAGACTATGAGCGCCAGGAAATTGACAAATATCCAGAAATATGGTTTCTCGGATTAGATGCATGCAAAATCAACGCAAAACCTGGAACCGCACTGAATTCCGGATATGACGATGACAATGGCAGTTACAATAAGGTAAATTAACGACTTACAATTTACGGTCGTCAATGCAATCGATCTAACTGTTTATTTACTTTGTTGATTTACAGATTATTCACGATCACATATCGTATCGCTATGAGATACTTGAGGTGATCGGCAAAGGAAGCTTCGGCCAAGTAGTTAGAGCATTAGATTACAAAACCAATAAACCAGTAGCGATTAAAATCATCCGAAACAAGAAGCGCTTCCACCATCAAGCATTAGTTGAAGTGCGAATTTTGGACGAACTGAGGAAAAAGGACCCAAACAATGAACACAATGTGATTCACATGCAAGACTATTTCTATTTCCGCAATCATTTGTGTATCAGTTTTGAATTGATGAGGTAAGTGAAGTGAACGAACGATCGAACGAATGAACGAATGGAATGAAATGAAATAAAATCCTAAAAATACGACGACTTGAATAAATCAAATTGACTATTTGAACTGCGGATTTCAAATGACGTAGTGAACAAAGTTTTAATCATTGTGAGGGTGAAATAACAAACCAGAGCTTAATAGCAATGAAAAACGAATGATAATCAAATCGAAAAAAAAGAACAGATTCGGATGTCACGAACATTTGCCGTACAATGTGTTAGTTTATTTATTTCAAATTGAGAACTTTATCAGCAATCGACAAAATACCCAGTTGACGTATTTTAAATACCATACAAAGTTCTGCCAATAAACCAAAGAAGCAACAACAACGAAAACGAACAACAGCAATTGCAGTATGCCATTTCGAAGGGAATAAAGTATGAAAAGTTTTGTTTAAAATTTCTTTGTTAATTTATTTACCAATTTGACGGCAACAAATTTACAGCGCTACTGAAGTTGTGACAAAAATCATAAAATTAAATTAGTAAGCCTAAACGAGCGATGAATGGTTTGCGTTGATTTTTCGTTTTCGGTTCGCTGTTGTTGCTGCTACTTTGACTGCTCTGTGCCATCGCGTAACCAGCACGTTTAATGGCAAAACTTCTTCAGTAATTATTATCTTTTTCTACGGCGAACATACATTTAAGTGCAGCGCACCATGATACTTGCTGTTGCGCTACGCGTCCGTCGACATTTTGCCTAGAAGTGATTACACCGAATGGCGAAAAGGTTAACTATGCGGTTATTATTATCAATTTGACTTTTCAGCAGCTTCAATTGGCTTCGAAAACTTTTCCAACTCTTTTTTTGTTGTCTTATTCAAAACAAAGTGAAGCAACAAACAAAAACATCCAAATTGACATGTTTATGGCCTGAAGGGAAGTTAACGATTTTTTTCTTCGTAATTTTTTTTTCCGGTGAAAACAATCTAGCACTATTGTCTACTGATATTACTTTCAGAAGAAAAAAATCGCCATAAATTAAGATCTACTCTATATCTCAGCTTGATTTTTATTTAAAATTTCTGCAGCTTATTGTTTCCATGTATGAAAATTTGATTTTCGCTGTCAAGTGAATCGCTAGTCGGCTATTTCTGTCATATCAATCAATGTCTATGTTGAGCACGCTCCATATGCTTTTTTTCATACGAAATCAGTGTGAATATTTTTAGCATCATTTCACGCTGTTATGCGCGGCAAGTATATGGACTTTTCAATACGCTTAATATCCGATGTGGTCGAACAACAACTCGTGATTTTAATGGAAATAGCATGATTCGATTTAGCAACAAGGCCCACTCAATTATTATGTATACTCAAACTGCAGAAGGACGAAAACGAGTGTATGTGTAGTTTTGGTGTGCATGATGACATGCGACATGCATTTAAACTATGCAACATTTTAATCGACTCATTGTGGAAAAGTTTTCGCAACTAGTATAAAAAGGCCCACACACAAAAAAAAAACATAAAAAAAGAACATGGAACCGTTGAATTTCCTGTATTTTTTTACGATTGAAGCGACATCAGAAGAAAAAAAATTGTACGGAAATTGGCGGATGTTTCGCCACTATTATTGCGTTGCTTCCATATTCCTCTTTTGTTGAATGCTTCAATTGCCATTTTAAATGCTCTTCGATCAACTTTTTACATATTTGCATTTATATCATTTGCCAATAAATAATTGCGCAGTTTCACAACTATATATACGGAGAAAAAGAAGGATCAACCTTCGGGAAAATAAAAGTTTAAATTAGGCTCATAAATTTTATTGCGATTGTTTTAACTTTGAAATATTAAAAAAAAACATCGAAGAACTTTTCGTTTCCCAGCTACTAATTTTATTTGCGCATTTCTTTGTGCAGTGCTAATTTCATCACGATGGAGATTTATTTGAAAGGTCACGCTTGAAAATCTAGCAAAGAATAATATATGCACGCCAATTTTGAAACGAACAGAAAAATTTCAAGTGATCGTATGACCATTTTCAGTAAACGAATCAGAATTTATTTTTCTTCTCTTGTCAACACGATTTTTCTGTTCGTTTTGTCCTTCTGACGGGAGCTTTCTCTGTGGTTTTCATTGTTGAATGATTGATTCCAAATATGTTCCTAAATATTTCAAAAGCCTCAAGCCAAACGCTAGTTAGTTTCTACACAGAACAAACCGCATTAAATGTTTGATTTTGACATGCAATGTTCAATGCTACAGGTGCATGTCTATCGAACATCTCGACAACACATTTAAAATTGAAAAATAATTTCTGTCATTGTTGGGAGCACTGGCAACCATCAAAAGTGCATGCTGAATTTGAAATTAATCAACAAATTACAGTTTAAGTATTTTGGACAATTAAAGACCGTTCTCGCTACAATTATACTAACAAATCGACTGTATGTAGTCGATTCAAGACTAAAAATAGCGCATGAAATTCGTTCAAGAATAGAATATTCAATGAAGTTTTTGTTTCGTTTCGTTTCAGCTACAATCTGTACGAGTTAATCAAAAAGAACAACTACCAGGGATTTAGTTTGAGTCTTATTCGTCGCTTTTGTAATTCAATTATCAAATGCCTACGTTTACTCTATCAGGAGAATATAATTCATTGTGATTTGAAGCCGGTACGTATAAGAGTCGAAATGTGTTTATGTTCCGATGGCAATGGCTGAATATACTTATTTCATGCTCTCGATCTTTTCTCATTTCGGCAGGAGAATGTGTTGCTTAAGCAGCGCGGCAGTAGTTCGATTAAGGTAATTGACTTCGGCAGCTCATGTTATTCGCATCGAAAAGTCTACACGTATATCCAATCGAGATTTTATCGATCGCCTGAAGTAATTTTGGGTTTGTCCTACGGTACACCGATTGACATGTGGAGTCTGGGTATGCTATTTAAAATCCATTACGGTGCATTCGTGCAGCAGCATTCATTGCAATCATTTTCAATGGCCTGATTCATTTTTTCATCTTTTCATTTCTTGTAGGTTGTATTTTAGCTGAGCTATATACTGGATACCCGATTTTTCCGGGCGAAAATGAAGTTGAGCAGCTGGCTTGCATAATGGAAGTGTTGAATGTACCGCCGGAGGATGTATTGAATCAAGCATCTCGTCGACGTCTATTTTTCGATTCACGTGGTAATCCGCGTTGCATTACCAATTCGAAAAATCGCAAGCGAAAACCTGGCACTAAGCCATTGGCTCAAGTGTTGCGCTGCAACGACCCACTCTTTGTTGACTTTGTCAGCAAATGCTTAGAGTAAGTAGAAATGCAATTTCTTGAAGGGAAATCATTTCGAATAATAAACTGTTTCTTCCCTTTTTTTTCAACTTCAACTTTTTCTTGTTGTTACTGCTGCTGTATAGATGGGATCCCAAGAAACGAATGACACCAGAAGAAGCAGTTTACCACGAATGGCTTCAGCCAAGCTCAAATTCGTCCTACAATCATAATAAGGCGGACAAAGAGTCCAAGATACACAGAGAGTGCAACGATAATGGTTCGCAACAGTCACAACAGCAATCATCACAGATACAGTCATTGCCGGTCTCATTGAAAACGCAAAAGTACTTCACGCCGCCATCGATTGTCACCTCACGACAATTGCATCAGACACAACAGATCATTTTGCCCGAAGTGAAATCTAATTATAAATTGTATAAGGACAGAACCAAAGGTAATTAATCAAACGGACCATTTAATGTTGTGCCCAATTTTGAATCAATGAGCAGCACGCGTGCAACCAGCAGCCAAACTGTTGTTTCGATCAACAAACTACTTAATAATTGTTATCGTGAACTAATGAAATGCAATCAATTAATCACACAATTCCGTTTATAACTTTAACATTATTTCATTATTTCACATGCGCATCCCCGCATCACACGCTTCAATCATTGACTCTGAATTCTATTATAACTCAATCTAATATACATGAAACTCGCCAGCTCTAATCTTTAAAGCACATTTCTTTATCTATTTTGCTATCATTCGGCTACATCATACATACGTAGCCATTATCAAGGGTCATACGTAGCAGGCGTTAAACTTTCAATTGTCATTTGTAAAACCAACAAAGGGGAAAAGCAAATGAAAGAATTAATACTTAGAGAGAGTAGAAGGTTGAAATCCGCTAAAGTGTTTGCAATCATGCACGCATTTAGTTGATAAAATGGTGCAATTTCGTAGATAAAGAAATGTGCGAGCGAGCGTATGAGTGAAAAATAATAATCTGAATCCATTAAAAAAATCATCATTTTGTTTAATCATTGGAAAATCATCCGTTTGTTCATTGCAAAAATAAAGGTTTAACAGCTTCAACAACGGACATTGATAGCGTAGCTAATGCAGTGGCACAAGCAGCTGTAAGCAGTTCACAGCATGACATTCAGCCATACTCATTGCATCGTTTGTATGCAGCTAGAAAACTATCGACCGCAAGTAATTTAAAGTTTGCCAATAACGATTCGAGTGGCATGAGTGTTATGCATTCTCAGTCAACGGGTGATGTTGCATCGATGTTTGGACGAGCTTGACATGATTGAACATAATTACACCGAAAGCAAATTTGCACGCGCTCCACCAACAATGATACCCAAACCCGACAACAACCAATAACGATAACGATAACGATAAAATATAGTATTAGATGGCGAAAACGGAATGATGAGCCGGGAACACGAGCTCGCTGAGCAAACAACCATTATCATTTAGATGTCACTTAAGTTCAAAATGTCCAAGGGAAACCAAATATCTCTTCATCGCATCGCATCGCATTCAATCCAACAAACATCATCATTATCATGATATCTCTTATTGTTTGAAGCTTGTCCGATTTGGATCAATGGCATTCGAATGGGAAAAGTAAACTCTATTAATTTCCTACACTCACATCACACCAGCTTCATTCAACATTTAACGTATCATTTCGCTTTTTCCATGTGGCATACTAATGAAAAATTCAAAAGTTTAGCGTTTAGTTTGTAAAACTTCTTGTTGATTGGTTGGACTGTGGGAGTGACAAGAAAAAGACAACAACAGCAACAACAAGTGAAATTAATTTCTAGACTAATTGTAATCTCGTAACACAGAAGTTTGCCAAAAAAAAACAAGACATTATATATATATTTGTATGGATGTTGTAATCGCTTAAACTAAATCACTCACACTCACGCTCATCAAACAAAATTAATTGGCAAAAAGAATTTGACACAATCAACGTCATTTACTAGTCAAAGTCGTTCGTTGTTGAGGCAATGCGTTGTCATCTGTGTGTCTGTTTAAAAAAAAAAAAAAGAAAACCAAAATTCGCCTACTCAAATCAATATCATCAAACCAACATTATTTTATATATTTGCAGATATTCTCTTCATTGATATGTATAAAAGAAAATTGGCGTGAATATTGTGCGTACTGCCGAAAAAAAAATCGGACCATACAAACCAAACTGATTTCGAATTGCATTTTATGTTATCGTTTTCAGTTGCGTTCACATTTGCATTGTTCTAATTTCTTTTTTTTTATGATAACATATATATAACAATATAATTCAACGTGATTAGCTTAAAAGTCTATCTAAAAAGCTATACCAATTTTAATTGAATATATATCCGACAAGTTAATCGTAAACACTTCCAATGTAATCGATTTGAATGAATTCTTCTTAACACTTAAGAGACTTAATTATTGGAAAAGGAAAAGCGAAAAAAAAAAAACAGCAAAAACAAAATCCAATTGTATCCACGTAACCCAAAGCTTGCTAAAACATAAAGCGATCATGAATTGATTTAGATTCAGGCATGCAATGCAATAAATGCTAGGACATTTTGATTGTATTGTCATATAAATGTACTATCTCGATATTTGTGATACTATATTGTAAATCAGCGAATACAAGAGAACACATAAAAGAGATGATGAGAAAAGAAGAAGAAAAAGAAGAAAAAAGGAAAACAGAAAAAAAAACAGTTTCTGATCCGTGAGTATTCAGTCGTTTGTGTTCAACAATATTTCTTTATTTGTCCTGCCCTTCGCTCATTGTCCTTGTAGTTTTTATTGTACCTTTTTTCAAGATTGAAGGCTTCACACATTTTATTACATAATTTTTCTTTTCTTTTTGTTTTGAGTGGAATTTAGACAAGAAAAATGACATAAACAAATCTAGATATTAAGATACATATATTCTAAGTGCTCAACTCCAGATATTGATCTGATTTTTGTAGTTTTTATGGTAAATGATATCACAAATCATTCATTACAGTTTAAAGAGATAGAAAGAACAAAATATGAAGACAATTGCAATTGATTACAGAATATAGAATAACAAATTTTGTTTTGCTTATCGTTTTCTCGTTCTTTGTTGTACTGGTACTCAGAAAAGGAAGCATAACAAATGATTTACTATCTCTCAGTAAAGTGTATTGCAAAGTGGTATCTATATTATATAATAAATATATATATATATATGAAAGTGTATTTGCCTATGATTTGTATATGTAAATAATAAAAAGATAAAACAGAGATACACTAAAAATTGTTGAATGGTCAGAATCCAATGTTTGCATTAAAGAATAATCTTTGAAATGAGAAAAAAAAAAACGTGTTTCCATTTATTAATTCCAACAGCAATGAATGGGAGAATGCATTTTAAAATTGTTCTCAATTCAAAAGTGCACAATTGAATCATGAATAACTCATGAAAATTTACTGCACCATTCTTGTAACTCGGTCACAGAGACAACCACCGTACAAGTAGCATGTACATATGAATCGAAGTCGATGTTCAAAATCTCATCGATAGATGGCGCCCTCATTTCATTAAGTCATTAAAATTGAATTGATTCCAATTCGCTATATGATTTGTCTTGCAACACAACAAATAGCTAACAAAGGTATGTTCACGTTCATTCATATGACATTTTGCTAGAAATGACTTTTCAACATGACTTTTTGTTATCTTTGAAACTAACATCAAGTTGATTCAAGTCGAATCAAATGAAAAAAAATTATCACCGTTTTCGAATTTCTTATTCCACTTGGCTTCTATCACAAACTTTCCACTTTATAGCATTTTAAAACGGAAAAGCTATAAAATATTAATCCATAGACTCACCGAATGGTTTATGGTATTTCAATAAAAACAGCGACAGTAAAAAAAGACGAAGCTAAGCCAACGGAGTGAATTTAATAAAGGAAAAAAAAAATCCAAGCCGTTGAAGTTTGACGGCGATAAAAATGGTAAAACCGCAGTTTATGAAAATTTATTGCTTCCATATTATCTTGTTCGTACCTAGCGCATTTTTTGCTGAGTATATGTTTGTGTCGGAATATTCGGTCGAATGCAGAGAAAACTCCCGGTTGATTGCCGACATGTCCTAAGATAACGTCAGTTTGACCATCAAGTCAACTTTGGTAATTTAAATGTGTTTATTCGGCAAAATAAGCGTCAGCCTGGAAGTAAAACAAAGCGCTGAAAGCACCACTGGTAGAAAGAATCAACATAAACGAGATAACGATGGAATGCCGTCGGATTTTGTTTGGTTTTTTTTCGTTCAACTCTCTTTATGCCACGGAAACGGCCGAGCCGAAATGAAAAAGGGAGACAGAGAGTGTGTGGAAGAGTGAGAACGGGAGTAAGTAAACATTCGGCGTTCCTGCAAATTGCATGATCAAATGCAATTTGTTATTTGCCATAAATTTTTCAACTTGAGGATGCAAGCATTTCGTGTCGTGTGTGTGTGCTGTGCTTACGTGCGGCATGCGTTTCCACAACGATGGTATCGTTTGCTGTTGCATCGTTCACATTGGATGTAGTGTACGAGTAGTGCAAGTCGTTGCATTCGTTGATTTGTGGGTTTGTTTGTTTCTTTCTTTCTTTTTTGAGCGATGCGATAAATCCGTAAAAATAATGAAACATATTCTTTAGTTTCGCTTCACATTTTTCGCTGTTGTTCTTCGCCCCCCCTTCAACTTGATTTTGGCTTTACCTGTTCGGTAGAATGCTCGTGTGCATGGAATCTTCTCAAACTTTTCCAAATCCCTCAGATTCTTTACCAGTCGCACTATTGTTACGGTTGGCGCTGTTGTTGCTGTTTTTGTTGAGTATTGCTGTTTTTCTTTTGCTCTTGCATGTGCATTATTCCACAACTCATTTAATGCATGCATTCTCAAGTGCCTGAACGTCGACCAGCGTAACACCAAAATACATAATGACGGTGTGCAATTTCGATTTTCACCAACTCATGCTTGCACAACGTGCTCTTCTCATTCGTTCGTTTCTCTGCTCTATGCATAGCAAAATAGAGTTATTTTCATATGGAAAAATAACTATTTCTTTGCATTTATTTCACTTGATTCACCGTTTCTCCCCCCCCTCTCTCTCTCGCTTTCTCTCTCTGGTTTTTTTTCTTCATTCAACCTCAATGCTTTTAATTTATTGCAATGGAAAATTCGCAAGACACGAGATAAAGGAAAACATTGGCGTAAAATATTTCAAAAAAATTCCTTATCTTCCACGATGTTATGCATTTCATCATGGATTTGCTGTTCCTTTCGCACATTTTTTTTTTCTTTCGCCCATCTTCGTCGTCGCCATGGTTGTCGTTCAGGTAGTGTCGTACAAGTTGGCAGCTTCGTTACTTTTTAACACTTTGCAAAAGGCGAACCGAACGAAGCTAACCAACCATTCCGAATTTTTCCACTGGAAAATTCGAGAGGTGCATTAGACGAATGAAAAATATATTAAATTGGTTTCACCATGAAAATACATCGAACGAAGTTCATTTTTTTGTGTGTGTGTGTGGGTGGCACTATCACCCGTAGAATTTTGTTTAAAAAAGAGACACTGTAACAATTCAACTGCTGAATTATTAAAGGTTTGAACTTCACGGCAAATAAGACCAGAAAATAGGATAAGATCTCTGTAAATTAGAATAAGCTGCTGAAGTGTTGAAAGTGACAAAATGCTAACAGCACCATCAATTGATATGCTGAACGAAAGCGAATGAGCAAGAGAACACTGCCAGCGAACAAGAGAATGCTAGAAAATTATAGGAAACGGGATGAGCCCCATCACATTGTTAAATTATATGCATGTTTCATGTTATGAAATTAGGTTTTTTTCCATCCGTCTTACAATCTGGTGGAATTTCTCCTTGGCACTGATATGCAAATAAAATAGTTTACACTTCAATCTGAATGCCTGATGCCTGTGTGCCGTTATTTTGTGGCTAAAACATCAGACAAACGATTATTTTTTCTTCTCTTTGCTCAAACACAATGAAATTAAGCCACAATAATAACAATGCAAGAGATAATAAAACCCCAATACCAGATGAACAATTGCAAAAGAGTGATACGATCGCATGAAAACAAAGAAAAAAACATCCATTCGTCCGCCTGAAAGACGTTTGCCGACCCATTCGGAAAACCAAAATGAAAATTCCACGATATGGAGAAAGAATTGCACAATGATAATGCGAATAGATGGAAAGAGTCAGCGCTTGACAGTATGAACGGTTCATATTCACTTGGTTATTGTATTTGCACATTATTTTAATGTGATTTTCATTTCAGTGAGCAGCGACACATGTGTCAACAGCGGAGAAAATGAAAATGTTGAAAAAAAATTTCTATTAAAATACTGCTGGTGTGCCCGTGCATAAGCAGAAACATATTCCATTCCTCTTTCGTTGCGTTGCGTTGTATTTCATTGTTGTTCCGTTGTTTTCTATTTGTGTCATTTCGTTTGTATGTGCAATTGTTGTTGATGTCGTTACAATTCTGAAGCCAGAGAGAAATGTAGATCTTGGCTTGTGTGTGTGTGTTTGTGTTTGCATAACGAAAGTGGTTGCAAACAGAACCCGATCCCCAGTCAAACTAGGAAATAAGTAAAAAGAGAAAACACTCACCAAACAAACTGGCTTTCCCGTATCCTTTGAAATGTTTCGACTTGAAAGATTCATGATGTAATATGGGTTTGTTATCACTTCATGACCATTCTTTTGCACAATGAATAGTTGGCACAAGCTCACTTGTCGCTTGAACTTTTCTCTTCACAACGGAATAATTATTTTATAAATGCTGTCTGAGAAAAATGCGATTCCTTTAATTTGATATTTTCTATTCTTTTGTTCACTCACTCACTAAATGACATCATCACCATTGTGGCACGAGAGGATGGAAATACAAAATTGCATATTCACGCGGCGTCTCTTTGCACGCGTCATTCGTAAGTGAGCTAGCAATAGCAGCAGCAGCAGCCAGAACGATTGCATTGTTCGAGATAATTATTCGTTTCGGGGTGTTATTTCAATGCGAATGCATCACACAATCATCGTTTGGTAATCGAATAACATGTTCACAACGCCTCCCCTCGTGCTCCAATGACAGATGAACAAATAACGCTCACAGAGATAAAGTTCCCTTCACCCCTTTGTGAAATCCATCTCTATTTACTAATTCAATAATAATTTAAATAATTCCCATTATTATGTCTGTCACGCACTTTTCATTTTGTTCATGGAACTGAACTTAATTTTGAATTGAACATCTCTCTCTCTCTCTCTCTCTCTCTCGGTTTCATCTTGAACTTTTGCCCACGGAGACCAAATGGAATGCGAGCGAACGTACGAAATTAAATCTAGAAATGTTTATATTTGTGGCAATAAAAATGTTTATTATTTTGAGAGGATTTGTGCAATTCCATTTGATTGTTCTACACTCGGTAAATAATGGCATGCATGTGTGATTGTTTGTTCTTTCTTTCGTTCGTTCAAAGCGAGTGGTTCATGACAGCCTCACTCAGTCAGTTTAGCTCAGGGTTTGAGTAACTTTCTCTCCCTCTTTTTTTTTTATCTTTGCCTCTGTCTCTATCTCCGTCTCCACTTTTTCAACATGGCATGACATTTGATCCTTTGTTACAATAGTTTTACAACAAATTCGAGTTTGTTTTCTAGTATCCGAGTCCCGGCATATGCAATGTATGGGTCTGCATTGTTTTTCCGCCGCTGATTGGCTTTCTGATCTTTGTGCCAGCAAACTTTAAGACAGTTGCTGGTGTACATGACAAACAGTGTCACAGCAAAATATGCAAAATATTATTTGCATGAACAAATGATGTCATTTATTTCATCGCGGCAATATGCTGCGATGGTTCCCAACGCCAGCGACTACCTCTAAGTTTCAAAAACTTGAACCGGTTGATTTATGTCTGAAGATTTGCTCATTCAACGGAATTTTGTCTGTAAACCACCATCGCCACATCTCTTCATATGGAAATTTATGTGCTCTGATTTGTGAAAACGTTTAATTTCAATTTAGACAAAGC